TTAGAAGAGTTGTGTAGTTCTTCTGTTGTCTTAGAAGAATTGTGTAGTTCTTCTGTTGTCTTAGAGGAATTGTGTAGTTCTTCTGTTGTCTTAGAGGAATTGTGTAGTTCTTCTGTTGTCTTAGAGGAATTTGTAGTTCTTCTGTTGTCTTAGAGGAATTGAGTAGTTCTTCTGTTGTCTTAGAGGAATTATATAGTTCTCCTGTTGTCTTAGAAGAATTGTGTAGTTCTTCTGTTGTCTTAGAGGAATTGTGTAGTTCGTCTGTTGTCTTAGAAGAGTTGTGTAATTCTTCTGTTGTCTTAGAAGAATTGTGTAGTTCTTCTGTTGTCTTAGAGGAATTGAGTAGTTTTTCTGTTCTCTTAGAGGAATTGTGTAGTTCTTCTGTTGTCTTAGAGGAATTGAGTAGTCTTCTATTGTCTTAGAGGAATTGAGTAGTTCTTCTGTTGTCTTAGAAGAGTTGTGTAGTTCATCTGTTGTCTTAGAAGAATTGTGTAGTTCTTCTATTGTCTTAGAGGAATTGTGTAATTCTTCTGTTGTCTTAGAGGAATTGAGTAGTTCTTCTGTTGTCTTAGAGGAATTGAGTAGTTCTTCTGTAGTATTAGAGGAATTGAGTAGTCTTCTATTGTCTTAGAGGAATTGAGTAGTCTTCTATTGTCTTAGAGGAATTGAGTAGTTCTTCTGTTGTCTTAGAGGAATTGTGTAGTCCTCTAAGACAACAGAAGAACTACACAATTCCTCTAAGACAACAGAAGACTACTCAATTCCTCTAAGACAACAGAAGGCCTCTAAGACAACAGAAGAACTACACAATTCCTCTAAGACAACAGAAGGACTACACAATTCCTCTAAGACAACAGAAGAACTACTCAATTCCTCTAAGACAACAGAAGACTACTCAATTTAATTGAGTAGTTCTTCTGTTGTCTTAGAGAATTGTGTAGTCCTTCTGTTGTCTTAGAGGAATTGTGTAGTTCTTCTGTTGTCTTAGAGGAACTGTGTAGTTCTTCTGTTGTCTTAGAAGAATTGAGTAGTTCTTCTGTTGTCTTAGAGGAATTGTGTAGTCCTTCTGTTGTTTTAGAGGAATTGTGTAGTTCTTCTACTGTCTTTTAGAGGAATACGAATTGTTTATAGTTCCAGTTGTTTGCGTTGCAGCTGAAAATGTACCTCATAAAACAGAAAGCTTTCAAATTCAACCCTCACGGGAGCAACAGGGTTGAAGATTGGTTTATACGTCGAGTGTAATTTGCTCGTCAGTTCCAGCTCAACATTAATCCCTCAAGTTCGAGACTTAATCAGCTCTTCTAATTTTCTCGAAATACAGATGAGCTTCCCCTTTTAAGTGGGTTGTTAGCGATTTAGAATATGCAGCATCTTTCATCAATAAATGTGGGAAGAGATGTGATGTAGGAAAATCTAGGACGTATAACAGTGTCAGTGGAAGTGACCCAGGCAACAATAAACTAGGATTCCGTTTCATCTTTTTGTCAATAACTTTCAAGTGTAGATATTATTTGCAAGAAATGGGTAAATTGACAATCTACTGTCACAGGCACACGTGGTATTAGTATATTGCCTCAAAGACTGTATGAATTATTAATGGACCAACAATGGTTAGTGAAGCGTACTCGATCATAGCTGCATATCTAAATCTATTAATTTGAATTATGAAATTTTAATCATGATTTTATAATAATTATCAAAAACCAACCAATCAAAACAGAAAAAAAAACATTATTATGTAAGTAATTTGTATTACTCTTTTTTTCACAAAGTGATAAAGTGCTGACAGCTGAGAGAACCTGGAAACTGATGGAGACTACTGATTCTCAGCCGCTGGTCACTGACCAACCCGGCGCTGACTGGGACAAAAGTGAACAAGAAAAAAAATACTTGAACCGAACATTCCAAGGTGAGGATTATGTCTTGAAAAAAAAAAAGACGAAATATTTTACATAAATGTGCATTCTCTTAAAGATTTGTTTCTTTAGAAAATACAGTCTTGGTTCTTCGGCTTGTATTTCCTTTAATATGATAAAATAACTAATACAGTTATTAAGTGCTTTATAACATAATTATCATATTTAGATACCAATACACTTTTAAGGTTTCGTAAATTTCGTAAAAAAAAATAAAACCGATTTGTTTTAATAGTGCTCACTTATATCAACTGAGGCTTTTTTTTTTGGTTGAAATTACATCTGTAAGAACAGAAACGTATTTTACGCAAAACATTATTATGTATTGAAACTTTCTCCAAATTATTTCAAGTATTTGCAAGAAAAGGTTATATATATATTTATGGTATGCATATAAAACGTACCAATATTTGAAAGTGCCTGAAAAGTACAGTAATTATACAGCTGTAAAATGTTCTTGAACATTTCAGCCATACATTTCTTACGTCAGCCATACAACCATTATGTTCAGTAACTTTTATTGAGTGTATCGTTTGTTAGTAAAGAAAAGGATGCTTGATCAATTGAATTATGATGCTACTGAAAAATAAACTCGCAGAAAAATCAACGTTTGAAATTTAATAAAATGTGTATTCCATAGGTAATTGTACAGTTACATAAATTCAATTAATGTCTCACGGAAGAACAAACAATTTAAATATAAGTTAAAACAAAAAGAAGGAAATATTGTCAACGCCATGATGTTTGGGTCTGATCCTTAATCCAATAGTCACAATTGTTATACAGTTTGATATATACATTATAGACACAAATGTTTGAAAAATAATTCTAGGCCTAATGAAAATGTCTGTATGTGGTTACTGTCGATATTTTCTGATGGATCGATACATTGATCGTCCATTGTCAGCCTCTGCAAAACACTCAACGCGCATAAGATATTGCGTGGATGGTACGGCTATCACGAAGAAGACAAACGTCATCGTTGCGTAGCATTGGATTTGATGACGTCAATTGGAAATGAGATCCTTATGTTAGAAAAATCTAATGAGCGCGGACTTTAACAGTACCAACAAGAAAACTGAGTAGCTATTGATTGAATGCGACAGTCTAATGTCTATTTTACTTCACCTTGAGGACAAAGCTGTACGCGGTTGGGAAACGTTTTTATGGACAAAACATGTATACATGTTGAACGTAGAATAAAATGAACGTATTAGAATAAATTCATTAACTGTGATTTCTTTCAGATTTAGATTTATTTTGGAATGTTTTTACAGGTTTGTAAAACATTTACGATGACCAGTGAACACTATTAACCAATGTCTTAATCGGGCCAGGACGTTTTGTAAAATATGTTTACCGCGAACATAAATACCTTATGCATTATATAATATATTTTTTGACAGTTTTGAAATGGAAATTATCATATTGTTATGTGTGAGAAATAGGTTTAGTATATTATACCGCATGATATATATATATATACATCAGTACGGAAATCTTGGTTAGTTTGATTAATAGTGTAACCTCGCCCTTCAATGCTTCGACATGATTGGTTCAAGCGCTGTGTGTGTGTGTGCTCGTGCATCAGGTGTAACATGCAGCTCGTGAAAGCTGCCCAGGACAACCGTCGAAGAAGACACGCCCGTTAACGTGGATCAATTCATCTTTCGTTTTTCTTGGGGAGTTCAGAATTTTAAAATTTCAAAGGTTATGGATAATATCTGATTTTTGCACATATAAATATCAAGTGTGAATATTACGTTCAACGTGTACGTTTTACTTTATTGTTTATTAATGTTGTTTATACGAAGCTAAAAAAACACCAGCTGTTAAAAAAAAATGGCGATAGAGTTAAAATATGATTTTTCTAGTCGTTCGTTTTAACCAAATTTCAAATGCGTAATGTTTCTCCATTTTCGAAATTAAAAAAAATTGGTGTATGGTATGTCCTCTCCTTATCTTAGAAAAACAAAGCAGGCGGAAGTGTAGATTCTGGAATATTCCTTATATAAATGTATTTATAATTACCGTGTAAAGTTTTTCAGAAATGTCTTCTTAGTAAAATGCTTAAAAAGTTGGAATTTTGCGCGGTACAGACACGGATTAAAAGACATTGAGAGAAAAAACCTTTACCAGTATCCTGTTTTGAAATGTACAAGTTTAAAGTTTTCTATTTGTTACTCAGTCAAACCTCAGTAATTCTCTGCAAAACACAAACACTTTTAATTTTACATGGATACATGACGCAGACAAACCTGAGATAATAATAGATTCTGCATTTAACGAATTATTACAAACCTGATATAATAATAGATCCTGGATTTAACGAATTATTACAAACCTGAAATAAAAATAGATCCTGGATTTAAGGAATTATTACAAACCTGAGATAATAATAGATTCTGCATTCAACGAATTATTACAAATCTGAGATGATAATAGATTCTGCATTTAACGAATTATTACAAACCTGATATAATAATAGATCCTGGATTTAACGAATTATTACAAACCTGAGATAATAATAGATCCTGGATTTAAGGAATTATTACAAACCTGAGATAATAATAGATTCTGCATTCAACGAATTATTCTCTTTCATATTTTAATCATAATTATATAAAGGTTTTTTTTTACTGTTCACTTTGAATATTGTAGACAGGAGTAATATCTTAACCAGTGAAATAGAAACAGACTTTCAATTCGAATATTAGACGATGGTTTTAGATTTAGGCCAAAAAGGAAATGAGGACACTGCAGGTTTTGTATCATCAAACATTTTTCTTGATTTCTAGTGTAAGTGATGGATATAATGCTTAGCTGCAAGACTACATAAGCTTTTCATTTGCAACTAGTAACAGTACCGAAAGAAAGGGAAAACAAATCTAAGGGTAATTTCCTTCTTATCAAATACAAGGCTGGTAGAAAATAAGTTTCGGCTACAAACGTTGAGATAATGGTAGAATCATACCATCTACAGCTTAACTAGTGGTTGAGATAATGGGAGAATAATACCATCTAAAGCTTTACTAGTGGTTGAGATGATGGGAGAATCATATCATCTACAGCTTTACTAGTGATGGAGATAATGGGAGAATCATAACATATACAGCTTTGCTAGTGGTTGAGATAATGGGAGAATCATACCATCTACAGATAATGGCTGGAGACGGCTTAAATGGGTAATGAAGAAAAACTTTAATATAAGTTTAACATGACAGCAAATGTACAACGTTTCGACAAGGTTTTGTCATCATCAGGTACACCTGATGA